AGTCCCCTCTGCAGACGAGACAACGGGCGACGGAGCTCTATAAAGAGCTATCTGGGGCAAAGGACAAGGAAGCTCTATAAAGTCCCCTCTGCAGACGAGACAACGGGCGACGGAGCTCTATAAAGAGCTATCTGGGGCAAGGGACAAGGAAGCTCTATAAAGACTTATCTAGGGCAAGAGGCAACGAAGCTCTATGAAGACGCATCTGCAGACGAGGAGCTCTATAAAGACCCATCTGGAGCAAGGGACAACAAAGCTCTATAAAGAGCTATCTAGGGCAAGGGACAACAAAGCTCTATAAAGACCCATCTGGGGCAAGGGACAACAAAGCTCTATAAAGAGCTATCTAGGGCAAGGGACAACAAAGCTCTATAAAGAGCTATCTAGGGCAAGGGACAAGGAAGCTCTACAAAGACCCATCTGGGGCAAGAGACGACATCGGGATTAGCCACAGGGGAAAAAATACGTTTCCTTGTCGTCCGTTTCCGTCGTTGGATGTACTGTTTCTGTGATGGGCGTTCCTGGTAGCGCCCGTAATCTTAGGGGGCGTGTCTTATAAGTGTATTATTGAAGGATGTATTTTGCATTACCTGGGGTTTATTTTTACTCATAGTGTCCATAACCATATGTGTACATTATTTAAGATCCATGTTGTTTACAGTGTCCATTGCTTATGGTGTTCATATTACATAAATTGTATTTCATTCAAAATATGCATAGTGTACATTGCATACTGTAAACATTGCTTATACTGTTTCTTCCATTCTAAAAAAAAATGAAAGAAAAAAAGTCTGCCTGGAAACAAAGCCGTTTAAGTTTCAGGGAAGTTTAATGGATAGTAAGCATACAGGCAAACAAGAAAGTCTAAAAATTTAATTATATAATGGAAATTGCTGTCCTATCTTCTTTGTAGGAGCGAAGTCATTTCTCGCCCAGTAAACATATTTCAAAGACTATTTACCCAAGATTTTTCTAGAGGTTCTTCCTTGCCACCTCGGAGAGCGCCTGGTACATCCATCACACACGAAGGGGGGGAGGGGGAGGAGGGGCCGAAAACACGTGACGTCATAAGCGAGGAGGCGGATCTAAGGCACAGAGGCACATCCGCTGCCACGAGGGAGGCACGTCGAAAGTGGAGCTGGAGTGGAAAGAAGAAGTAGAACAGGAGGAAACAGACACAGATAGGGAGAGGGAATGGACGGGAGACCAATCGTGATTTTGAACGAAGATGGGAAGAGAAAATGAGGAGGATTTATCAGCGGAAACAGGAAGGACGGAAGGAAGGAAGGATGCGAGGAAACCGCCGGGAGGGGAAGAGACAAGAGAACCGAAGAAGGAAAGAAGAAATGGAGAAGGGGGAAATAACTACTAAAAATCGTGATAGAGGAAAAGGTTTACAAAAAAAGAAGAGGGATATAAATCACAAGAATAAACGGAGAAGAAGAAGGAAAGAAGAAATGGAGGAGGGGGAAATAACTACTTAAAATCGTGGTAGAGGAAAAGGTTTACAAGAAAAAAATGGGGGATATAAATCATAAGAATAAACGGGGAATGGGGAGAGAGACGGAGAGAGGAGAGATTCAAGCGAAGAGAAGCTGAAAGTCATAAAGGGACATTACCGCTTCGGAATAATTGCATGCAAGCCATTCGTTGACTCGTGTCCTGCAGTGCAACGCATCTGTGTAATGTTCAATTTGCACTGCGACATAAGCTGAAAGATTTTAGTATCTCGGTTTTAGCGTCAGACCGAAATGCAGGGAAGGTCGAGGGACCGCGTGTCTTCAGTAGCGAGGTTGTTGTTGCCAAGCCGGAGAATTGGGGTTGACTGAGAGTAATTCGCGGAACAGGCAGAGGGGAAGCAGGAGGGGGGAGATAACTATGATAATTAGATAAAACTTTGGAAGCGAGTCTCGGGCGTCAAAAGTTGTTCAGGTTATTTTGTTACGCCTTATTTTCATTTTCATGTACAGGCACAGAGAGAGAAAAAGAGAAAGAGAGAAAGAGAGAAAGAGAGAGAGAGAGAGAGAGAGAGAGAGAGAGAGAGAGAGAGAGAGAGAGAGAGAGAGAGAGAGAGAGAGAGAGAGAGAGAGAGAGAGAGAGAGAAGAGAGAGAGACAGACAGACAGACAGAGTAAGTGAGAGAGAGGGGGGAAGAGAGAGAGACAGACAGACAGACAGACAGACAGACAGACAGACAGACAGAGAGGGTGGGGAGGGAGAGAGAGAGAATACGTAGATAATGGGCAAATGGCAGACAAAGCAAGAGACAGAGCCAAAGTGTATTTATTTTTCTAACAACATATCGATAGATACATACATATAGCTGAATAGATAGATACAGAGCTAGGTAGAGATGGGAAAGTGGAGAGACAAAGACAGAAACAAAGAAAAAGCTAGAGAGGCAAAGAGAGTCAGTTAAGGCAGAGAGGGAGAGACGGAAAGACAGACAAACAAACAGACAGGCAGACAGACAGACAGAAAAAAACAGCTAAACAGACAGACAAAAGAACGTGAGACGAACCACCGAGAGGCAGACACAGCATCCAAAAGAATCCCTTTTCAAAACAGTCTTTAATTATCAAAGTAACGAAATCTCCCAGTAATTCTGAGACAAGGGGGGGTTCCTCCGCTTACAAAACCCTCCGAACGAGATCCTTCGGTTAATTCGATCACCCAGCGATTATTCTCCCGCGCTAAAAGGAGACGAATATTAATGAAAACCATCCATCAAAATGAAAGTCTCCCGTAAGCCCGTGGTCCTCCAATCCGCTCGGGTGACTGGTCGACTTTCTGTAGGACATTAATTATGCCTCCGATTGGATCAGGGCCGACCTCTGAAATTCAGGTAAGTGAAGATGTGCCCTCACCTGAACACATGTGTAGGTATATTTGTAATAGTGAACGTTTCAGAGGTTTTTGTTGTTGTTGATGTTGTTAGAATTATTATTATTTATTCAGTATTGTTGTTGTTATCCATATTATTGTTAATTTAGTATTGCTGTTGTTATCATTATTATTATTGTTGTTGTTATTGTTGTTGTTATCATTATCATTGTTATTGTTATTAATGTTGTCGTTATCATGTTATTATTGATATTATTTTTAGTGTTGTTATCATTATTAGTGTTGTTATTATTGTTGTTGTTATTGTTGTTGTTATCATTATCGTTTTTGTTATTGTCGTGTTGCTATGCATACAGGTCTATCGGAGAAGTGAAGTGTAACCACGTTACACGGGTATACTTTATTTAATGATGAATGGTTAAACACTCTACCGTGTTGATACTATGGTAAAAAAAACACAATGCACAAACTAGATTTATTGAAAAATGAGCCAATTATCTAATGATATGTCATCCGGTGTGTCATTCTTGCAGTGGAACTCATTAAACGGGACTTGTATTATTTCATTATTTGTTTTAAAACAGATACGTGCATTGTCTAACAAGCGAGAGATGTGTATTTGAGTTTTTATTTGTTATATTTACAAATATGACTCATCCATCTTGGAACTAGTCAAGAGGTTGTTTCTGAATTTATGACTTACCAGAACTACCTGATCGTAAATTAATATCTATCCATCGCAGAAACGTGTTCAGGAGACGGTAGAGCAGAGTCCATTGACTCAAAAGTAGGATATGAAAGTGAGATAATGAATTTCACAAAGTAAGAGAAAGGTATTTGACGAGTTTAGAGATTGCATTTCCATCCCCTCTGGTGAAAACCTAACACTGACACTCGATAATCACTCTTTCATGAAATCGTTCACTCTCATTCATAACTTTTCTATAACTATGACGAGTGTGTCAAAACCGACCTAATGCATCGAGAAGCTATAACAGTGCCAATGGTAGAGGTAAAGCTGAGGACGTCGTTCATTATAGATTTTGCAATATGGATTCATTCATACTCACTCATACATCTCTGTACATACGTTACAGTGAACTCTATTAAGTGTCTCGTTAATAAGTACTTCTAGGGTGAGATACGGTATAATTAAGCTGCTTGTTTACGCTGTATTAATGGGCCTCATCAGATTAACCCCCAAGTATAGAAAAATAAACTTAATAATCGGTAATCCATACGTGTGCAAATTGCAATTAATTAGCCGGCGCAACAGCTAGCTAAAGTGTAAGCTTAATGTCTGCCTGAGGAAAATATGACATTGAGCGATAGTCAGTTAAACAGTGATTGTGACTTGCCACAGTTGTTATGCCTTGATTGTCATGACTTTTATCCAAACATCCAAATAATAAAATGTACATTTGATTTCAACAAGCAACAAAAATGTAACGGATACTAGTGTCAGTAGGGAAATGATTTACTTCTTCGGTAAATTAATTAACTTAAAGTCACACGCACACATAAACATACATATATATATATATATATATATATATATATATATATATATATATATATATATATATATATGTATCTATCTATCTATCTATCTATCTATCTATATATATACATATATATATATATATATATATATATATATATATATATATATATATATAGAGAGAGAGAGAGAGAGAGAGAGAGAGAGAGAGAGAGATACATATATATATATATATATATATATATATATATATATATATATATATATATATATATATTTATATATGAATTGATATAAATGTAAATATATAAATATATGAATATATATATGTAGGTATATATATATGAATATATGTATATACTTTGTGTGTATGTGTATGTATATATATATATAGACAGATAAATAGATAGATAGATAGATAGACGGATAGATAGATAGATAGATATAGATATAGATATATAGAAATTATATATATTATATATATATATATATATATATATATATATATATATATATATATATATATATATATATATATATATATATATATATGTATATAGACATGCATGTGTATAAACATATATGTGTGTAGATATATTTGTATATATATATATACATATATATATATATATATATATATATATATATATATATAT